AAGCAGGGTTAGACATTGATGTTTACAAATTAGGAAAATTATGTTGACAACGATGTTTATGACATCAAATTTTGGGTCCTCAATATTTTCAACATCGTATTTTATTTGGCATTTTTATCTATTTTGATTCGAGCGACACTGATGAGTCTTTTGTAGACGAAATATGCGCCTGGCGTACATAATTTTAACCCTGGTATCTATGTTGAGTTTATTTGTTAAAAGAGATGTATATATATATATATATATATAAACAAGTTTAAATTGAAAACAACGTTCAAACCTATGATTGCGTTGAAAAAAAACGCAATTTTTATACGTGTGCATGCAAAACAAATTTCTTGTTAGAGGGGTCTAAATACAGCACACACAACATTTTCCAAAAGACCAAAAAAGTGAAGAAGTATATTTTAACATAACGCATTTGACTAACAGGTCGAACAACAAATGTTCTTTCACCCTGCTGACTGCCATTTACGATTGCAAAATAAACGGATCACCGATGTAATAAATGGATCGTAATTATATATATATATAAAAGTTTAAATTGAAAACAACGTTCAAACCCATGATTGCGTTGGATAAAAACCGCAATTTGTATACGTGTGCATGCAAACAAAATTTCTTGGTAGAGGGGTCTAAATACAGCACAAACAACATTTTCCAAAAGACCAAAAAAGTGAAAAAGTATATTTAAACAAAACGCATTTGACTAGCAGGTCGATATATATATATACACTTTTAATATATATGTCATTTATACAAACTTGCTGAAATGTTTCAGAATGCGCCAAATTTGTCCCATCAGTGATGCTTAAAATGACCAAGAAATAATCTTTAGTTATTCTTTAAAGTTTTCAAATCGACATTGGAAAAAGACATTTAGATATAAAATTTATTTCAGTATGTTGTTGTCATGTACAGGTAAATGTCATAATTATATATTACTAGTAACTGCGAACAAAACTATGATTTTTTTGAAATACTAAGGATTCGTTACTCCATCAATAGATTACTTTAGTTGTGTTTGACTAAACCTTTCGGAATTTTGGGTCCTCGATGCTCTTCAACTTCGTACTCTGTTTGGCCTTTCAAACGTTTTGATTCGAGCGTCAAAGAGTCTTTTGTAGACGAAAAAGCGTCTCCGGCGTACCAAAATGTAAATCCTAGTAACTACGATGATTTTATTTGCCTAATTCGTACTACTAGTAATAGATTTTCACATATCTAGATATGTTTTAATTCTATGTAATTATGAACACTTATGGTCGTACATCCAATGGATAAAATGTACCATTATTTTGGAAAATCACGTGGTTATACTTTTGTCGGACTGTTTTAACCCTTACACCAAAACTCTTGGTTTAATTCCATGCTATAAAGAAATAAGAAGATTGTATGAATGCCAATGAGAGAACACTCCATCCAAGTCACAATGTGTAAAAAGTTAACAATTATAGGTCAAAGTACGGGCTTCAACACAGAGCCTTGGCTCACACCAAACAGCAAGCTATAAAGGCCCCAAAAATGACTAGTGTAATACAATTTAAACAGGAAAACCAACGGTCTTATCTATATAAAAAACGAGAAACGTGAACCACATCAACAAACGACAACCACTGAACAACAGGTTCCTGACTTAGGACAGGTGCAAACAAATGCAGCGGGCCATTTGAACATTGGTAGATTTGAGGCTTAATGACATATCCAATGAGGAGTAACAGTATTTCAAACACCTTGCTGGCGATACTTACCTTTCCATAAACACAACATACTGAATGGCACCACAAGCTACTGAACAGTACATTATTGACTGAAAGCGAATTATCTAAACAGATCACTGAAATAGAAATCAGAAATGTTTGAAAAATATAAAACACTTAACAAAACCATGGCTGAGTTCCAAACTTGTGTTGCTATCTATTATAGGAATCATTTTAAGATCAAAATGGCTTTTTAAGACTAAACTCAGTGTCATCATTTAATACACATACGTAAAGATTTTAGCAAAATAGAACCCTGGGTCACAAGCAAGGCAAATGACCCAGCAGACGGGAGTATTAATGTTGACTATTATCTTCTGGACCACGCCATATTGAACAAATAATTAAATATGTGCAACGCCTTTCTATTTTTTTATAATCTGCCTCCTTATAATATAAATATCTAGATTTGACATTTAGGACTTCTAAGTTTACCAAGAGACATACTCAAAGTTTGGTCTTTAAAAAAAGATATGCATTCAACTTGTTCAGTGCATATACCCTTCCATACAGATACATTGATGACATTGAACTGTACAACTGCTCATTTCCAATGGGATAACACCACTTGTATATGTCCACTGGCTACATAACTAAAACAAACACAAATAAGTAAAAACAACTCTTAATTGAAAACTTAAAACAAATAGCAATACTTTATAGATGTAAATGCCTATATCAAGTCAGGAATATCATAGTTGTTCCGTTGGTTGATATAGTCGAGCTTTTTTATTTTTGTCAGGTTTTAAGGACTTTTCACTTTTTGAATTCGCATGAAGTACTGTATTTTAGTTACTGTATCACATTTTATAGTTATGGACTTCTGATAAACAACTCAAATATGTATTTGTTTCCTGTCTTCTGGGAGACGAAATAGGACAGGCAGGTAGGTAAAATGATTGTATTTAAAGAATATATGATTTTGTTTTTTAATTTCGGAAAGCATCATTTAGTACTAAATTTTATTTGGGTTCCGTCATGATACTAACCGATAAGTAGTAATCTCTTTTTGCAGACATGTCATCATTGTAAAGAGGAATAAGCATGCAAACCGAAACAAGATTATAATCACAGCCATTTTCATTCGGATTTACTATTTTTATGGAATTTAATCGTGAATATATCTTTTACATGTCATGATTTTTCTTATATTGATATTATATGTAACACAAGTGGCATTATGAAAAATTTTGTTGAATTTAATGAAATGTTTTACATACATTATAAGAAAAATGTTCTTGACTTTATTGGTGCTTTCTCTTTTTCGCGTTTGTCAACCACTGCCCATTTCTGCCAATCATCTCGTATCTTTGATCTGATTTGTTAATGATTACTGACAACCTGACTGGATATTATTATTTTCAAGTACTAATAATTGTTACAACGAGTACCAAAGGATGTAAACTATTTGGTATTGATAACGGGTAGCCGTTTCATTTTATCCATGTGGCTAAAAAAAATTCCAACGCAAAATGAGTTATAAGATTTACTACTGCTTTTCTAAAACTAATTTCATTTTCGATTTAAAATATCTTAATGTATTTAACAAATACAATGAATTGTCATAATTTCAGTTATATTTTCAGTGAATGAATTCAAATTCTTTAAAGTTAATCTGAATCAAAACGGTCCGTTTCTTACTTGTTATGTAAAAGATGACTACCACTGTTTGTTGAATATATAATGAGGGCCTCCAGTTTTGTGAAAAATGAAGTATAAAACACTAAATGTCTTTTGGGGTAAAGACGTTCATCAATCCACCTATCTGTTTATCTGTCGGAACTTATTGTAACCAAATGTTAATGAAATTTTATGGAACGATGACAAAACTAGGATTCTGAACTTTCCAAATGACATTTTTGTATCGGAATAGTGCTTTCAAGCTTTAAAGGTGAGTTATTTAGGTTGCATTTCTGTAAAAACAGACAATGTAATTTCCCATACGAACTCCCTTTACGGCTAAAACTGTGCCACTTTTACTATGAAGTTTCGTGAAAAATTATATCCTAGAATGGAAAGTTGATATGCACTACTATTTTATTCAAAGGTCAAAACATAGGGCTGTGCGGCATACTTTCAACATTTATATGCCCCGAAATTCTTTCAGTTTAAACTTATACTTAAATTCTGTACTACCCCTTCCTTAACTTTAGGTCTTCCTCAGAATTCAAAATTCGCCGCAACCATGTGTATATATACTGGTAACATTCCCAAGTTATGTCTCTATGAGATGAAACATAGAGATCATAGCTGGGAACCAGTACGTAAACAAAACAAAATATCTATGAATATTATATATCTCCCCAAAAGAGGTGTGGTTTGTGAAACAGCTGTATTTACAAAGTGCAACCTTTAGCTTATGTGGCCAAAAGTCATTTCAATGTTGGCCATAGCTACGTTTGATGTTTGACATCATCTGCAAATATTTATTCTAAAAAATTGATATAGAGCACATCACATGTGTGTTGCATCAAAATATCAACAAGAATAATGTTTCAGGTATAACAGATTTTTTTATAACATAAATAGCTCTATATTTTCCAACTTAAATGTTTTTTTAAACAAAATTGATTAACAACTAATTTCTGTAAGAATTTGTATGTGTACTTGCATCTTATCTGACTCTTTGTTTAGAGTTCACTGTTGTAATATTTTTCACCATTAGTAATTTATGAAAAAATAAGCGATTAAGATTTCAGTAGAATTTTACACTATTGTAGATAAACATCTATTCTTATTTAGTCAAAATTCCTCTAAGCCAAATTTCGTTTGGGATCAAAAGAATTCCAATCAAAGGTCACAATAATGAGCTAAAAAGAGGCTGAAATCTGTTATTGAGGAAATATCTCTGAATTATTTTGTTTTCATCATTTTGATACGAGTTTAGTTATACATGTACGTATGCATCGATCGTTTTAAGTGTTTGCAATGCCTGAAATATTTCTTCATGAAAGGTTTCCATTGTCACTTTTTTTTTGGGATACGGTATTTTAAAACATTTCATCGACTGATGTGTAGCGTCATCTTAATGTTTTGTAATATTCTTAAAACATTTCCGGATTTCTCCTGAACTATTAACTAACCATGCAAACATTTTGTTAGAATATTCACCCTATTTAATGACATGAACTTATCAAACCTCACTCTGCTTTATCTATAAAATCTTGAGAAATCAACATCTGCATCAACATTTAAATTGTTTATAAGTCTTCGATTTCAATAGATGCCACTTATCTCACCTTGAACGCCGACCTTTCAGAATGTTTAGTTACCTTATTTTAGTACTATTGCCTATTATAACTTTTGGTTGTTGTCCGCCTAAGACATGGACATCAACGAACTTTGTAAATTATGCCAGTGGCCCGACCCATTTAGAGGTAAGGAAAACATGTTCGTACTTTAAATTACAGTGGATTCAATTGGTTCAGACAGTGGCGATAATGGTTTATCGTCTTGTCATAACGGTTTTTAATCTAAATAAATATTTCCGCTATGTTCACCATATCTATAAAGGTTATATAGTGAAGTTTGATAATATTCAACTGATTCGTGATAATGTAGTATAACATTCAGTCTTATCATTAAAAGTGCATAGCATACTTATATTGTTAGTATTTCTTTTGAACTGTTTCACATTTTGTCATTTCGTTGCCTTTAATAGTTGTTTCTTACAACTGAGTCCTTTGCTCCCATGTGGATCATTATACCATTTACAATCGTACCAAATCTCCTTATTTTCATATATTTAAAAATACGGGAACAAGCTTTAGTTTTTCCTAAATGCAAAATTTACAATCGACATCTTTTATTTTTACTTCCAAGTTTTGACGGTTATACCTCTAATATGTTAGCTTTGGTATTCGTCAAAACAATTGATTTAATGTTGTTGGGGTCAATAATAAACTGTTAACACAGAGATATCTGACCTGTTTGACAAAATCACAAACTTTAACAATTTGTTGACACCACTGGCGAGTCGATACCAGAAACAGTACGCCTTAGTCTCGACGAGACCAAATCAAAGAAGTAGGTTCAACAAAGTTGGTCGAACATGAAAAAGCGCTGGATACTTTGACTATTACTTGAAAAAGAGGGTATGTGGAAAAGTGGAAAACTATTCTTCGAAACAGGCCACGTACAAACCCTTCAAGAGTTATTAAATGTGAAAAGAGCATGACTGTTTCTAAATGATGTATAAAGAGAGAAACTTGTCTACGGAATATTTTGTCTGATACTTTGAATTGGTCAAAAAAAATACTCAAATCTGTTTTGTGGTAACTGGATATCATTTTTCTTTACAAAATACTATGACATCGTTGATGGCAACTGAATCACACGACGTCATAAATATATTCAAAAGGGTTTTACATTGAAGCTTCTCTAAAACAAATAACCATAACCAAACTGAGAAAATATTTTTTTCAAAGTATCAGAAATCGACAACACAAGAAATGTAAAAATGCCAATGAACGAAAAAGACATACGGACAGAGATACAAAAAACGAAAAAGGAGAATAAAAACGAATTCTCGCAAACTAAAGATGATTACAAGTTTCATCAACTTAAAAATATATATACATCTGCGTTTATAGCTACTTTCAATAAAAATTATATGCATGCGCAACTGTTCATATTGATGCAAACATGAGGTGTACTTTTCGTCAGTATCAAACATTTTGTCATCAGAGAACTTGTTTGGATAATTTTTTTAATCCTTATAATTATCATTTACATGTAATCAATGACAAATCAACCCTATCATTCTAATTTTTCCGGTTACGAAAATTGTAAAATCTTGAGAAAAACACCCATTAAAATCTTAACCCACACTTCGATTTTATAAGATGAAACGAAACTGTGCCTAAATACTAATTTGATGTTTTTATTTCAGATTCTTCAATATAATTACTTCGACGATGGTATGTCGGTTATCTCTCAAAATATTACTACTGATCAAGGAATGAAATTCAATCAAAAGTTATACGCCAACTTTACGTCGGTAAGTTTTTCCGATTGGTTTTTCTTTGCAATCAAGCAGTTTTGTTAAACAATTACAAATCAAATGATGCTACTCGGTTTTAGTTTGTAACCCGGAATTCTTTTCTCTCAATCGATTTATGACTTTTGAACACCGGTATACTACTGTTGCCTTTACATTTTTACTACAGAAATCGGTTTGTAGGGTATGGCGGTCTTATATAAATATATGAAACTTTTGAAATCAATTAATCTATCGGTTCCATAGGTACTAGGGAACGGGGCAATTTTTCCTTGAACTCCCCCTTTTTTCCAAAATCCGTTATAGATATTTTTGGTCACTTTGTTTTATATATTATCAGTCACCGCTGTGGAAAGTAAACAAGCAATTGATAGTAAATCGTAAACAAATGTTGTTTCTGGTATATTTATTTAAGTATAACACAGAAAAACACGAAAATATTTGAAATTAAAAGAAAACAAAAATAACGGATTTTAGAAAAAAAGGGGGAGGCAAAAATTGTTATGTCCCAAAGTAACTTTTAGCTAATAACACCAATCTCAAGGAGAGACCCTACTCCGGACACTATTTGGTTTTTGTTTGCTATCACCAAAATCGTTCAGAAATATTCGTATGTATGCAATTAGGTAAAAAAGTAATATGACATTAATAAAGATGAAATGAAAAAAAAATGTTTTAACATTATCAATATGATACCAGAATGCTCCCTCCAATTAAAAGTTATTAATCTGAACGATACGTTGTTTTTAAATATCATTTTGCAATAATTCTTCATCTACATTATAAACCAACTCACAGATAAAAAAAACACACCATTGGAAAGGCTCAAAGTTGTTATATGCAATGGTATACTATTGAAATTTCATGAATAAAGGAAAATTTGGGGTATGATAGCTCTATTTGACAACAATTCGAAAACACAAAAAAAAATGAAAACAATTGTCATTCTAAATTTAATGACAAAAACAAATCCAACCAAGGTTAAAGCATGCTTTTAAACAGCATGTAAATTGATAAATGCACAATGTTAAGCCCTTAATCGTCCAAGCCCAAATGGAAAGAATCAGAAATTTAGCTGAGTACGTTGCCAACTGTGAACTGATGGAAGTAATTTTTTCTTCTCTACACGGGATACTAGAATTAAGAAGCCCATTCTGATTGGATGTGTCCACGTATTGGTACATCCCGCAGAATTAACGGGCTCTTTGGCATTTGTTTTATATCCTTAGTCACTACATTAAACATAAATGAAAAATGACCTGATTTAACCAGTGTAATGTTTTGATCAGTAGTTTTCCCTTTCCTCTTAATGTTACTTATTCAAGGTAAATACTACCTTTTCTAAGAAAAATAATACGAAGCTGAAAGAAAGCCTTTCAATTAGTTGCAAAGAAATTAATTTAAAACAAATATATTTTAATCAAATGCTTCTCTTATATACACGTTCGGTGTGAGCCAAGGCTCCGTGTTGAAGACCGTACTGTGACCTATAATGGTTTACTTTTATAAATTTTGACTTGGATGGAGAGTTGTCTCATTGGCACTCATACCACATCTTCTTATATCTATTAGACTGGTTCTCTTCCTTGCAACATGCTGGTATATGAGTTACTTGTACCTTGCAGAGCCAAACATATAAAGGACAAGAAAGTAGTCTTCTATACTCATCTATTATCTTCAACATTAGGATTTTACATTTATATAGGGAATGCAGTATGTAGTAGATAACAACGGAACATGTATGGGATTTAACATTACTTTTACTGGTGTTGGAGAAGGTTGTATCCCAGGTAGGAAACATTTATTTCCCAGAAAAATGAACGAAGACCAATCTATGAGGGTTGGTGGGATAGGATTTAAAAAAATGAGATGATTTTTTTTTAAAAGATACGAGGAGGGAAAAAATAAACACTTAACAAATGATATGAATTGGGGGATTGATTATAAAAGGACATTATACAGTATTTCAATTATGTATGATTTAAAGAAAAGCCATTTTTGTTTGAAGTATTTGTCCATTCTGTTTCATTTCTTGATTTTCTTGTATTACGAATGTTAGTCATCATGCTACAAATATAATATCTACATGTATGAGCGTTTATAAAAAAAATCTAATTTTAATTTGTATAAAAAGTTTTTAGACTACCATTTCAATTTTCAAAATTTGGAGTTCGAAAATATTAAAAAAATACATGTAATAAAAAGATCAGAAATGTCCTACAAGAATGTAAAGAAAAGATAAGAAATGACCAACAAGAACACAAAGGAAGGATCAGAAATTTCGTACAAGAACACAAAGGAAGGATCGGAAATGTCCTACAAAACAGAAAGAAAAGATCAGAAATGTCCTGCAAAAATACAAAGGAAAGATCAGAAATGTCGTACAAAACACAAAGAAAAGATTAGAAATAGTCTACAAAAACACAAAGGAAAGATCAGAAATGTCTTACAAAACACAAAGTAAAGATCAGAAATTTTCTACAGAAACACAAAGAAAAGATCAGAAATGTCCTCCAAAAAGACAAAGAAAAGATCAGAAATGTCCTACAAGAACTCTAGGAAAAGATCAGAAATATTTAAAAAATAAACACAAAGGAAAGATCAGATATGTCCTACAAAAAAAACAGAGAAAAGATCAGAAATGACCTACAAAAAAGACAAAGAAGATCAGAATTATCTTTCAAAAAGACAAAGAAAAGATCATTATTATCTAACAAAAAGACAAAGAACACAAAGATAAAATCAGAAATGTCCTACAAGAACACAAAGGAAGGATCGGAAATGTCGTACAAAACACAAAGAAAAGGTCGGTCAGAAATGTCTTACAAAAACACAAAGAGAAGATCAGAATTATCTTTCAAAAAGACAAAGAAAAGATCAAAATTATCTAACAAAAAGACAAAGAAAAGATCAGAAATGTCCTACTAAAACACAAAGGAAATTTCCTACAAGAACTCAAAGGAAAGATCAGAAAAATATATTACAAAAACACAGAGGAAAGATCAGAAATGTCCTACAAAAATACAAAGAAAAGATCAGAAATGTCCTACAAAAAGACAAAGAAAAGATCAGAAATGTCTTACAAAAAACACAAAGAAAAGATCAGAATTATCTTTCAAAAAGACAAAGAAAAGATCAGAATTATCTTACAAAAAGCCAAAGAAAAGATCAGAAATGTCCTACAAAAACAGAAAGAAAAGATCAGAAATGTCCTACTAAAACACAAAGGAAAGATCAGAAATGTCCTACAAAAAGACAAAATAGTATCAATTTTACATCCTCTTCAGGATGTAATATTGACACTATTTTGTAACCTTGTAGTAGTACGGTTTCCCTTCGATCGTTGGTTTTGACCTCCTGAGAACCTCATATTGGTTTGCACAGTATTCTTTTTGCCATTGCTAGTTGATTGTTTTAACATAGAGATTTCAATTTGTGTCTCTTCTATTTCCACTTTAACGTTTTCCCACAAAGAGCGAAAGTGCGTTATGTCTTCACTTTGAATATTACAGATCTTTATCTATTCCTGTACAGCTTGCTTTTATTGTTGAAGCTCTTGATAAATTCCACGGTTGGCACTTTCCACTGATGTTTGAACAAAATACAAAGTTGATTCGGCCAAATGTCTTTGTTTTTGTAATTTATATTTTGTTCTCCTTGAAATTTGATAAGATTGTTCAGCTGTTCAACTTCTTAGTAGTGCAATTCTTCTTTGACTTCTAAGGATAACGTCAAATCGTTAATTCTCGAATTTTTGTTGACAATCTCTTTTTCAGGCATTTCTTTCCTGAGTTTTTGAATACTTATTTTTAAACTGTTCATTTCCATTTTAACCGGGAGAATGGTTTTAGTCACAACAATATGAAAATCTTTGTCGTCTAAATTTGAGAATGGAAAATCGTTGTTAATTTACTTTGCAAGAAACTTACGAAGTCTGACTGAGTCCCTTTCTTTCCTTTTCGTTGACTTTGGTACCTTATTGGGCGATAGTTAACTTTAAAATGTTCAAATTTTCCACACCTAAAGTACTTTAAGTTCACATGGTGAAAAGTCGAACATGTTTGAGGCCGATGAAAGCTGTTTTCATCATAAGCGACTCCTTTGAATTTCATTGTCGATTAACAGTTTTTTCTTGTACTGGGTGGTTTCTGTCGAAAACGATTGGAATTCTGTAAACGTTCATATTGTAAATAATGCACGGGATTTTGCAACACAAATTGAGGATTGATGTTTCAGAATCAACAGAATGTTCCGGGTCCTCGCACCAATTGACGTATTGTAATTTTACAACACGGGGGAACTAGCGGTAAATTTGAATAAATAAGAACTACACAAGTTGTACTTTCAATATTCTATTGTTGAATCAAAACTAAATCAATAAAATTGCATAAAACAAAGTAACATATGGAAGTCCATTAAACAGTAACAACGGCACAGTCCGCTGGAAAGTCCTTAAATGCAGCAATACGGGGTCCATAGTCTATCGTTCGGAAATCCTCACTGCCTACACGTTCTAAATGTCCCTTCTTATAACAATTGTTGAATTGTTCTAATATAAAAGGACACTAATTAATATGAATTTGACATCTGATCTTAAGTCTAAATTTGGACTATTCATAAGTACTAAGCTTAATCCGAAATATCAAAATAACATTGACTCTTGAAGTTCTATCTTACTTATTGAACTTCAAGCAGATTGCGACATATGGATTTGAGAAAGATTGTAACAACATAAAACAGTACTGAAAAATTATGAAATAAAGTCATAGAAATTTACACCATGTCAATAGCCTATCCAAAATACAAGATCACGGACCTGTCATTTGTTTTTACTTTTTAAGTTCCGTTATACTTATACTATCAACTTATAATAGTCTTTTAAAAAGCTTGATCTAGAGGAGCGGACATTCTTAAGCAACTTCATATTATTTTATAAAATGGATCAAAAATAGTTTCGGAACTTTCATTTAACTGTGTCAAAATGATCACTTTTCGTCCCTATTTCTTTGTTGTCGTCATGGATATTGCAGTGACATTTGCAACTGTATGTTCCACCGGCTATAAGACCTTTTTAAAGTATTGATTAATATTTCAGATGATGCTATAGTTGCTAAATCTTACATTGGTGTTGGAGCTAACAAGGTACCCGTCACCATGTACAATATGAAGACCAATGTATATAATACATATTTTACTGTAATTGATGATGGATGTATACCATATATGTACGAATCAACTGGTACTTTACCTAATGGAGGTGAGTTAAATGAAAATCAATGCCATTTAAAAATGCATAGTCTCTTGTGGATAGACGTCTCATTGGCAATCATACCACATCTTCTTATTTTTATATGGTACAACAGATTGAAATATTCTGTCTGGATTGCGATCATAAGACAAAGAAACTTTTCATTCGTTAATGATGGTGTGTTGAGTTTTACATCTCATCATGAAGTGACTCATTTCATTAATCTCTTCCTATGAAGGTGACTTTCTATGAAAAAAGAGTGCAATGAAATAACCACAGACGAATACAAACAGACATCCTGACATAAAACACAAAAAAATAAACATTGAACAAACAAACAAGCAATCTCCTCAAAACACTACATATAAAACCAAAGAATAAAATATATGCCAAGTTACTGTTATTGTCACGAAGTCGTCTGTGATATTAAATTTTCTCTTCTTGATCCTCATAATCAAAATATGTGAAAAATGGTTATATAAGGTCAAACACGCCAATTTCGGCAGGTCATTGCATGGCGTCATAGTAACACCTCATCCCTACAGTGTGTTCTAAAGTGTCCAAATGATATATGCCTATATATTTATCAATATAACTAACATAATTTTAAAAGGATTGAAGAATTTTCTGTTTTTGGATTTTGGAGACTAGATACTGCATTGGTCTTATCCGTCTACACACCTGTTACATTATACACAAATCTCCAAGCAATTTCCAATATTATAGTTGTATTACCAGTTGATATAACTTTTGGACTATTGTAAAATTGGTGTTTTCGTTTCTTTATATTTTTCACGCTTCATGGAATTTCTTCATGGCAAATACATGATGCAGACAACAAGACAAACTGAAATTATTGGATTTTGCGTACAAAATTACAATAGCTATCATCCAATCAAATTGATGATGCAGTTTTTAAAACAAATTAAATTATGAGGTGGGACTTAAGAATTTTTCTACTGTCATACAATCCGTCAACCCCTGCATTCATCAATTTAAACAAAGTATAACAGCCAGAATTGTATTTGACGAACTTGTACACACGAATTCAATATCAAAGAAAATGAATCAAGAAACGTATTTAAACATCCTTGATAAGACTTTTATAAAAGTTGCTTGAAACAATGTAGTGATCGAACATCTCTGATTTGTTTGTCTTTGTAGATGGCGCTAAAATGACTGTAGAATATTTCGGAGTTATGGTTGCAAAATCAGACCCAAAGAGAACGATGATGCCAGCAAGTTGTGTAAGTTGAGTATGATTTTTGGCAAAACCGGTCTCGAATATTCTTCGTTAATTTCTCATATTTTTAACACAAAAAGGTACGAACATTGATCACAAAATGTAAAAAAGATAAAAGACTCTACTTCGATGGAGATTAGTGCAATTACAAAAAAATCGTAAAGATCTTCTGTTTAATTTTGTTTTCTGACAGCACAAACAACATTTTCCAAAAGACCAAATGAGTGAAAAGGTATATTTTAACAATATATATATATATATGTGTGTGTGTATTTTAGTTCAAACCATGTCATTTTTTTCTTCTTCTTCAGACAATGTAAGAACAACGTTCCTGGAAATCATAAATAAACTTATTTTCGTTTGCTGGATATCTTGAATAAATATCGTTTGGTTTGTACGAGTGTTTTTCGTTATATTTAAAACTGAATGTTGAACTTTCAACAAACTACATTTAATCATCTTCATGGCGGGTAAATGGGTGTCAGTGTGGTAAGAAATATAACAGAAAATATTTTAAATACTCTGTTCAACAAATATAAAGGTTGGTATCTATCGAAGAGTGTCTGGTACATTCTTCTGAAACATTCTATAATTGTTCGCTCCAGACTTTGTCTAATATTACAAAAAGCCAAAAGCACAAATTTTTTGGGAGCACTAACGTAAAATTAAGCCTATACCTCTGATAGTTCATTGAGATAATGGACGTGAAGCACCAATTAATCATCGTTTTTTGAAGATAAAGTAACCAGTTTTGTGATCGGTAATCTGTTGAGGAATAAACATGACCTTTTCATCACAGAAAAGACCCAATGAAACATCATCTGATATTTAGCTATACCTGCAGATATTTAGTCTGCATATAATATATATATTATAAGCCTGTCAATACTGAGGTTGTGAGCTGGACTCCCGTACGCGACGAGTGCGTTCGACTCCATTCTTAATTGACTAGGATTGTCAGTCCCTTCTGTTATTCCACTAGAAATGATAAAAACACAAAAAAGTTATGTTTTCATAAAACATAATAACAATGTTTCTCGTTTTAAGTTCTGTATGGAGTTAACTGCTCTTTGATTTTCTGTTTCTGTACAAGTATACAAAACTTCATGTTAATGTGTCTGTCCCAAAACAATGGTTGCGTTTATGTTATTATCTGTAACTTGTTATGGAAGCAATTGCCGGAGCGCCGCCTGACAATACCTCTATGTGACCAAAACATTAGTTAAGTTTGTTCGCTACTCTCCTTTTTTTTTTACTTTTTGTCAGATAATCCTCTGGTCAATGTAGTGCCATTAAAAAAACTTGCCCTCTAACCCCTACTTTTATTTTCACAATTTTATTATATTAGCCATTTTTGAAAGTTTTGTTTTGTACAATCCTTGTTATGTTTCATAATTTAATTTTTGGCATATGCAACTATTCCAGTCATAATTACGTTCGATAACTCTGCATGTTACTGGTTTAATTAGGATTATGTAAAATTTACTAGTTACCCGATGAATGGTTTAAAGAAAATTGAAAAATATAGTTATTTCACCTCGGTTAATATCCATTCGAGGTCTTCTTTTATAAATATAAAATAATATTGTAATGAGTTTCATTGAGAATCTGACAACACTAATCAACATAGGTATTGTCAAAACATACATCTACATAGGTATTGTCAAAACTTACATCGTGATTAGGTGCCATGTTTGTTTTCTTTGATTACGTTGATGTTATGACTTAATATCTCCTTAGTCTAGCTATGTCCTTGGCTATCATTATAGTGACAATAACGTGTCATATTTAATTTCAATATAAACAGTGAAATTAAATTGAATTATTTACATGGACAAAATAAGTGTCGAACATCGTCTACATTTGAAAATAATTTGGTCGCCATTTTTTTAATTTTTATAAAAAAAACATCAGCATGTATCAGCTTTATCAAAAGGAACCAATGTTTGATTCTAAGCTGCTTTAAGGTAAGACAATGACTGAAAACGCGAGCATCAAACAGTTATTTGATTTTCATTGTAACAATCTTACAAAATATATTTTTACCAAGTCGGCCCACGCTGTCAATGTGGTCGCCATCTTGAAAAATAATATCCGATTTTCTGAAAATTGCTAATTTTCAAATCAATTTGGAAGGGACGTAATAAAAAATTAAACTATTGCATGTACGATATTTCAAATATTTATGAATATAGTAATAAGCACATATTTCCACAATTTTTCCATCTGTTTTGTTTTAATCGCAATTTTAGGTTTAACACGACAGAAAATCCAATATTTATCGGAGTTGGATGATTTAACAGTGTGAATTATCGAGGCAACAAGACAAATTTTCAAAAGCATTTGGAAGGGAGAAGACCAAAATTTAAACTTTTCCAAAAGGCATAAATAAATGAGGAATTACTATATATTTCCACACTTTTTTTTATCATGAACTGAAAGTAATTTATTTTATCGATTCCTGAAAGCTCCTGTGCATTTCTATACATTTTACTTGGGCATGATACGGGTGATGTGTGACGTCGCCAATGTCACGTGATGACTGCTATAGTTGGATATGATGTAACACGTCTTCTGATTGGCTGAAAGTGTTTTGTCTATCCGCTCAAAGACATAATTTTGTCATGTGACCGTGACGTCAACAACGTTTTTATCATGATTTACGCCTTTTTAGAATTAAATTATAAGGAATGACTGTAATATTTTTTCTTTCTATTCGAAATAACCTAAAAATGTGGTGCACACTTTTAAATAAATCGCTACGCGGGTTATTCAGTGTGCACCACATTTTTGATGTTATTTCTTCATAGACAGAAAAAATATTACAGTCATTCCTTCAATAGCTTTTGAAAGAAAAAAGGTGACGATGTTAAAAGAATGAAAAATCTAGAGAGAACCATTTCCCGCCAAGTTTTCAATGGCTTATATTTATATTTTAAAACCAAGGACACGGACCTTTCATTTTTGTTCTGCATTTTTAGACGGTTCCGTTATTAATACATCCTTGGCTTTCAAATATTCGGCTTTAAAGTTCCTGATGAAGGTAAATCCAGAAAAGCGCGTCGGACGTATAAAATTTATAACGTGTTGTTTTCATTTTTTAAATACTATTGAGTTTTTTTTTAAAAGCTTGTTATTTTGTAGGATTTTTTGTTCTACCTTAGGATGAAATTTGTCATATAGGATTTTCTTTTTCTCCCATAGGATAACATTTGGATACGTTGTGTCCTCTAAGACGGTTTTGTCAGTTTTGTTGGTATTTTACAAAATATATTTATGGTTCGTTTGTCCCAGTGTTTCCGTGTATTTGATTGGACATGATACCTTAAAAATTACATCATGCACTTCAAACGTTTACAATACTGTTATGATTGTCAATGCAAATAGTTTGTGTGGTCCAGAATATCGAGCATCACACATCAATAGGAAAGATATTAAGACAATACAAACTGCTTAGCTTATATTGTTGGCTTGCAGGCTCATATATATCATAACGATTCCGAAATGATTTACTTTTATCAAATCATTATTATTTCATTCTAATTGGTGAATCGTACTAAAAAAAAAATGCATGACATTTCAATATCATATAAAGTTGTCGTTAATGCAATATCCAATGGCTATTTTCGGTAATTTCCGTTTCATGCATGGAATTTGTTTTATTGACATTTTCTGAACGTTTAGTGGCAAATATTTCATACATGTTATTTACGATCTTGAAATCTTATAAAGACCAGACCATATATATATACGAAAGCAGTAAGTAAATTTCCTCCAACAATTGAATAATTATTTAAACAGATTTTTATCACAACTTCTAATCAAACAGACCTAGATGCATAGGATCTTTGAGAATATTCAGATAAATGTTCATTTTGGGTTAATTATGTTGCTTGCCTATACTACGTAACATGCAAATGCAAAATAATAAATGTTCTCTTGTCCAGTCCGATTGATTAATAAATATTGTTTTGTTTGTTAGTTTTAATTCAAAACTGTGCCTATTAACTTCAATGAATAAAATTGCATTGAAAAGGCCTAAATGTAATATATTTAGAATCAAGTAATGTAGGTTTTAGTGGCTCACACAAAACTGGTAAAGATGAGATATTTTGGCAAGACTGACAATCGTTCTTAAATTGAAATACAATATATTACATGAAAATAAACACTTTTATTTTAGTCATGATCCGTCATTTCCTTTACACGTCTTAACTAAGCAATCACCCTTTAAAAATCTATTCTTACATGTTTTAGTTCTATAATAAATTGACACAATCATATATGATAGATCGTGATAAAACAGTAATTCTAAGAACGAAAGAAAAAAAATCATGTAGTGGTTTTCAAAGAGATAACTGAAAAAATGTCGTTTAAGTTTCCATAATTATCGAATGATATATACATGGAAATATTACTTTATAGCATTGTACAATATCTTGTCTTCGTGTGTATTGTTTACAAGGAATTATTTATGAAGTTGTTAGATTAATGTTGTTTGTTTAAAGTCCTGTGGCAAATGTTTCATGTAAGTTCATAACGAGAACACATTAATTATAAATACAATAGGTAGGCCCTGCAATAGCAAAAATGGATGGTCGACTGTGAGGTTTTGACATGAAATTTGGAATGCCACTTGAAAATGAGGGTATATTGGAAAAGGACAGAAATTTAGCATTTTAACAGCTGGCCACATACGAATCCCTCAAAGAATTGATGCAAGAGTTCTTAATTTGCAGAAAGCGTTGGTCAATGAAATCTACTCTGAAGTCGACCATCGATACTTAAGTGAAGTTTTCAATGATATCAATAGGTTAAATACTTTTTGCTGCCTAAAGTAAAAGGGCGAGTTCTATGAGATTGAATTGTTTATTGCACTTTAGCTTTTTGGTATGATATTGTATTCTTCTGACCGCTTCGGATTTCTCGTGATAGTGTTTGTGCTTCTAGTGCGGGAGGTCGTGGGTTCGAACCCCGGCCGGGTCAAACCAAAGACGCCAACATTTGTACTTGCGGTTCCACCGCTAAGCAAGTGACATTAAGGAGCAAAAACAAAAAAAGTTTTTATTACATGTACCTTTTATGATTTCCACTGATCGATATTAAAAAATGAAATGGTAAAACTTTTCAACCATACAAAACATTTCTGTGCCTGTTGGGATATCTTTAACGAAAGATAATATTAAATTACTTTATTTATACATTAAGCGGTTTTGAGCTTGATATTCTGTATAGGGATCTCTCTATTATAAAAGACTTCATGTTGACTCTAAATGTCTTGTTTGTCTGTGTCGTTGGGTTGTTGTCTCATCAATATTTACCCTTATCCCCTTTTTGTTCAAACCCAAAGGGCTGACATGAGTATAGAAATATTGTCATCTCTTGACTTCTCCTG